GCTCATCCCTTTTCTATTTTACATTTGCTCCTGAGGGTCAGGTGTGTTGCTGTGTCCTGGGTGTCACCTGAAAATTGTGCTTCAAATTAAGTTATGAAATTAGTTCAGAGAAATGCATTAGATAATTTAAGACAACAAGAACAACTGCAACATTTATTAAGCCTTTACTATATGTTCTGGCACTTAAGTACTTTAATCCTCACAACTGCCTTATGAGATTAGGTACTGCTGTTTTCCCTGCTTTTCAGATGAGGAGGCTGAGGTTTAAATTTATTCAAAAAGGGATCACATGGTTAGTAAATGGCTGAGCTGGGGCTTTTCCAGCCCTCTGCTTTTGATAACGTTTTACTGTCTTTCAGGACCCCAGGAGTTGTTAGCACAATTGCATTGTGATGCTTTCTTCTCTGTAGGAGATAGTAAGAATACAGTAATTGACCAGGAATAAACCTGTGAGACACACTGCTTCCATAGACATTCCCGTTTGGAAGCCTCCCCAACCATTCCCTCCCATACATGACCTCAATCACATGTCATTGCTTTATTCTTCCAGTGCAACTTGTCCCCATGTCAGGGATGGGGCATTTATCGTGGTATTTCACCATTTGACCGTAGCCCTTGGAGAGCAAGCTCCCTCTTACGTACCTCTGTATTCCTAGCACATGGCACTTCCTATCAGTGCAATGCAGTGGAAGATTACTATTAAAATTTGTGTAACTGTTTTTCATTTTCTAATGTTACTCTGTGCAATTAGAGTACAGATGTCTGATGGATATATGGAAAATATCACAAAATCTTAATGTTTACAGAATGGAGAGGAACAATTTATCTGTTGTGAATAAAATTGTCTGGTCTTCACCAGCTGTGAAACAACCAAAAGTTGGGTTCTACTCTTCTCTCAACCACACCCATACGCACACTGTCTTTCTAGACTGGCGGAGTTTGCCTCACCATGTAGTATTACGCATTTTTCAGTATCTTCCTTTAATAGTTCGGACCTGGGCGTCGTCAGTATGTAGGAAATGGAATGAAGTTTTTCATATTCCTGACCTTTGGAGAAAGTTTGAATTTGAACTGAACCAATCAGCGACTTCATATTTTAAGTCCACCCATCCCGATCTCATTCAGCAGATCATTAAAAGGCATGCTACCCATCTCCAGTATGTCAGCTTTAAGGTAAGAAAAATAAGCATTAAATAGCAACGAGTTATGTTTCATTAATGTCATTTTTGTGTATCTAGATCCTTATGTGGAAGCAGTCAGTGAATTTTGCAGAATTTTTACTCCAAGCTATGTCCTGCTTTTCTGTAATGATTTGCATAGATTGAGGTGTAGAACTTGAGCTGTAACTTAAACCTCAGTTTCCTTCATCTGGATGGTATTACTAAAATTCAGGTCATTGTAAAGGATTTGAAAGTCTGGAGCACTTAGAAAGTTACTTTGTCATCAGCTCTATTTCTCACTTTTTGTCTGAGACCTTTTGTATAAAGAAGAAATACTAATTTGTTTATAACTTGACAGGATACACTACAATTTTGCAATTGAATTCTGTTACATAGTTATATTTCCAGTAAGTTTCTTATAACTCACTTTCAGGAAATAAAGATTTAGAATTGTTTTTATAGGTGGATAGTAGTACTGAATCAGCGGAAGCTGCCTGTGATATACTTTCTTAGCTGGTAAATTGTTCTCTCCAGGCCTTGGGCTTGATTTCAATGGCCAAGCCAAGTTTTATGAATGTGTCAAAGGTAAAGATACCAGGCTTTTTTGTGAGATACACAAAAATTCTCAAATATTTCAATCTAGGCCAAAAGGATTCTTTTCCTAAAAACATACCACGTCCTCCTTATGGTCAAAGAATTACTTAAAGCAGTTTTCTTTTGACTAACGCTTACTTTTGCTGAAATAGCTTATGCATGGTTTCATTCTTTGGATATATTTTGTAATTTTAATCGTTGTTTCTACGGTAGCTGTCATTAATATAAAATTTAGATGTTATACTTAGGATTTTTAAGTGCCAGTTAGTTTCTTTGAATATAGAGTGTGTATGGCCAGTAGTGGATGTTTTTCTTGTCATTCTGTATCCTCTCCATTGGAGGTTAGAACAATATAGTACTAAATGAACTATACCAGTTAGGATGATGTTGGATTCTGTAAAATAGAAACTCCGAAACAATAGTAGCTTAAACAACACGGCTGGAGTTTCTTTCTCTTACAGTAAAGAAATCCATGCATGAACATAGCTGGTATGAAGTTGTTAGGACCCTGAGCTCCTTCCAGGTATCCCGTGTTCTTGTAGGCATTTCAGATGGCTTTCTGAGCTCCAGCCATCACGTCCTGTTCTAGGCAGGAGGGTGGAGGAAATGGGGAACGAAGGGTATGCCCCCTGCTTTTCAAGGAATGCTAGCCATAAGTACCACATAATGTTTCTGTTGCTGTCTCATTGGCCAGCACTTAACTGTGTGGCCAGAACCAGGTTTCTGGGAGATGAAGAACGTTTTTTAGCGGACTGGTAATGTGCCCAGCTCAAAATTGAGACCCAATTACCAAAGAAAGAAAGGATGAATGGGTGTTAGGAAGCCACCAGCCGTCCCTGCCGCATAAACTGTCTTCATTCAGGCTTCAGCTTGGATTCCATCTCCTGGGGCAGCCTTCCTAGACCACTTAGACTAAAGCAGCGGCCCTTCTCCCAGTTAACACTCTGCTGTGTGAATACGTATTTTCTTTACATCATTCATGAGTACTTGAAATTACCGTCATTATTTAACATGTCTGTCCTCATCCCCTAGAACAGAACATACACTCTTTGAAGGCAAGGGATTCTGTTTTGCTTATTTACCATTAGAAACCCGGAGTTAGAGTGTAGTACCTGATATATAATAAACACTAAGTTATGGTTGTCAGTAAAACTGGCTGATGGAAACCTTCCTGGGGAAGAGGATAGAGGAATAGTAGCATCTTCTCTCTCATAAACTGGGTCATGGCTCTCAAACATTTCACTAGCCTGTTTAACTTGTCAAGAGATAGTCGGGGGGAAATGGGTCATTTGGGGATTAGAGTAATATGAGCAATCAGATGAAAACTTACTACATCTCAGTAGTTATTCCTGGTGTATGAATGATGGAGTCAGCTTAGCCTGAAATTCTTTAGAGTCTCTGCTGTCTCAAATGCTGCACATCCGCTTCGGTTCTGGGCTAGCTGGTGTAGTCACCAGGGCAAGGCAATGGTGATTAGCAGACTTCCTTCCTTGCAAGCTCTGCCTTTACAGTAAAATGAGTCAAGGGGCTTCTGGCAAAGTCGCGCATCTCTCTGGGTGTCAGTTTTTTCACTTGTCAACTGAGGAAAGATAGGATAAAAGTGCAGTATTTTGCTAGGCGTAAAGAGTGCTAAAGGAGTATGTGGATACCATCATGAGGCATGTCCTCTAATGCTGAAATACAGCCTTCAGGACTAAGAGTCCACTGAGAGTTGATTAAAGGGAAAAAATAAACCTTATATTTCTTAAGGAAAAAGTGATGTATTTCTCTAATAATTTTTGGCACAGTAAAATTTAGTAAAGAGATCTAGCCATCCACCACTTAAAAATTTATATTAATCAAATTACAATTAATATAAACCAGTATGTTTTTTAATAAATGAATTGAGAGTTATAACCAATTTGGTCATTGTCATAGGAGTAAAAGAACCTTTGGTAGAATCCATATTGACTTTGAAAAAGGAAAAATGATCATGCCTGGATTTGGTTTTCAGATTTTCTTTTTTTTTTTTTTTTTTTAAAGATTTTATTTATTTATTTGAGAGAGAGAGCATGAGAGGGGTGAGGGTCAGAGGGAGAAGCAGACTCCCTGCTGAGCAGGGAGCCCGATGCGGGACTCGATCCCGGGACTCCAGGATCATGACCTGAGCCGAAGGCAGTCGCTTAACCAACTGAGCCACCCAGGTGCCCGATTTTCAGACTTTCTATCTGTGTCAAAAAATACTGATCTGAAAACTTGTGAAATTGTACCGATTTTGGAGTCAAACTATAAATAAGCTTTTGTTTGTCAATCTTCATAACATAGAAAGTTTTTTTTTTTTTTTTTAAGATTTTATTTAATTATTTGACAGAGAGAGACACAGCGAGAGAGGGAACACAAGCAGGGGGAGTGGGAGAGGGAGAAGCAGGCTTCCCATGGTGCAGGGAGCCTGATGCGGGACTCGACCCCAGGACCCTGGGACCATGACCTGAGCCGAAGGCAGACGCTTAACGACTGAGCCACCCAGGCGCCCCAAACATAGAAAGTTTTTAAAATGTATCTTTATTGGGACACCTGGGTGACTCAGTCGGTTAAGCATATGCTTAGGTCGTGTTTTCAGGGTCCTGGCATCGAGCCCCACATCCGGCTCCCTGCTCAGCGGGGATTCTGCTTCTCCCTTTCTCTCTGCTCCTTCCCCCTGCTCGTGCTTTCTCTCCCTTTCTCTCTCTCAAATAAATAAATAAAAATCTTAAAAAAAAGTCTTAAAAATTAGGGACGCCTGGGTGGCTCATCGGTTAAGCATCCGCCTTCCGCTCAGGTCATGATCCCAGGGTCCTGGGATCGAGCCCCACGTCAGGCTCCCTGCTCAGTGGGGAGCCCTGCTTCTCCTTCTCCCTCTGCTGCTCCCTCTGCTTGTGCTCTCTCTCTCTCTCTAAAATCTTAAAAAAAAAAAAAAAAAATCTTAAAAATTAAAAAAAAATCTTTAAAAAATCTTAAAACGTTTATTTAGATAACTTTCTAGCAAGAAGCATATCACTGAAGAATAAGATCATTTATTTATTCATCAACAAATATTTATTGATCTCCTACAATGTGCCAGATATTATTTTAGGTGGAAATATAGGAGTGAATAAAACATGAAAATTTTGTTTATTCTATAGCAGGGGTTGAAAATGGTCTGACAGTAAGTATTATGGGCTTCACAGACTGTAGTACTGGGGCTCCTCCACTCCAGTCTCGTAGTGTGAAAGCAGACATAGTGCGTAAATGAAGGAGCATGGCGTGTGCCAGTCAAACTTTGTGGACACTGGAAGTTTCTTGTAATTTTCACATGTCACAAAATATTATTCTGGACAAAATTTTTTTCAACCTTTTACAAATATAAAAACCATTTTGGACTCAAGAGCCGGACACTAACAGACTAGGCTGGATTTGGCCCGCAGGTCATAATTTGCCAGCCCCTATTCTAGGAAATAAATAGTTATATCCTTTTAATATTGAAAATCAAGTCCTTAGGATTGAAATAATTACAAGGTGTGTTATGAAATCTTTGAGAAATGTTTTTGACTGGCTAATGGTGTCATGAAAAATGCTAATATGTTGATCGCTTTTACTATGTTATTGTTAGTATCTGTTGATATAGTTTCAATGAACTATTTGAAGCTGTAGATTTTTAAATAATATTTTCATAATTCTTTTCTTATTGCTGTGCAAGTCCCATTTTGTGTCAGCACTTACAGTTGTCTTTGTCAACTCAAAATCATTATCATCGATCAAAATTGAAGACACATCAGTGGATGATCTTTCATTGAAAATTCTAGTGGCCAACAATAGTGATACTCTAAGACTCCTAAAAATGAGTAGCTGTCCTCATGTTTCCTCTGATGGTAGGTTATATCTTTTTAAGCTTGGATGATGTCTTTTATATACTACGTATAATATATATTATATATAATGTATATAATGTATACTATCATACTGTTTGTATAGTATATAACATATGGTATAATAGTATATAGTATATATGTATGTATACTATATGTATGTATACTGTATTATATAATATATATACTATGTATATTATACTTTATGTACATATTGAAAACTACATTCTTTTGCCACAGAATGGAGATAAGTATAATTTTTTCGGAAATCTGTTCTTATCTTTATGAAATTACTTAAATAATAGTATATAGTATATATGTATGTATACTATATGTATGTATACTGTATTATATAATATATATACTATATATATTATACTTTATGTACATATTGAAAACTACATGCTTATGAAACATAATTGAAAAAAGTAATCTTTTTTCGAAAAGAAGTCTTAATCCATAAGGTAGACATAGTTTAAATTGCTTCTAAAAGTATTTTAGTCATGGGGCGCCTGGGTGGCTCAGTTGGTTAAGCGACTGCCTTCGGCTCAGGTCATGATCCTGGAGTCCCTGGATCGAGTCCCGCATCAGGCTCCCTGCTCAGCAAGGAGCCTGCTTCTCCCTCTGCCCCTCCCCCCTCTCATGTGCTCTCTCTCTTTCATTCTCTCTGTCTCAAATAAATCAAATCTTAAAAAAAAAAAAAAAGTATTTTAGTCATATGTATATTTTATTATACATGTGTTTTTATTATTACATATATAGATGTATGTGTAATATATATGTATACATATATATATGTATATATTTATATCTATCTTGACATCATGAGAGAGAGAGCGAGAGAGGAGAGAGATAGCCAAAGAGAGATTTTGTGGGGCGGGGGAGGGTAGAAGGAGAGGGAGAGAGAATCCTCAAGCAGACTCCCTGCTGAGCACAGAGCCCAGTGCGGGGCTCCATCCCAGGACCCTGAGATCATTACCTGAGCCGAAATCAAGACTCGGCCACTTAACTGACCAAGTCACCCAGGCACCCCATTTGATGTCTATTTTAGCAAATAATGAATAACTGATGTCAAATTTAAGTTTATAAGATGTTATATTAGTATTGGTGTGATTCTTGGTTCTTAAGAATTTTTCCCCATTTCCCGCAGGAATCCTTTGTGTAGCTGATCACTGCCAGGGCCTTAGAGAACTGGCATTGAATTATTACATTCTAAGTGATGAACTTCTCCTAGCACTTTCAAGTGAAACTCATGTTAACCTAGAGCATCTTCGAATTGATGCTGTGAGTGAAAATCCTGGACAAATTGAATTTCATTCTATTAAAAAACAAAGTTGGGATGCACTTATTAAACACTCCCCTGGAGTGGATGTTGTTATGTATTTCTTTTTATATGAAGAAGAATTTGAGGCATTCTTCAAAGAAGAAACCCCTGTTACTCACCTTTATTTTGGTCGCTCAGTAAGCAAAGCAATTCTAGGACGGATAGGTCTTAACTGTCCACGACTAATTGAGTTAGTGGTATGTGCTAATGGTCTTCAGACTCTTGATACTGAACTTATTTGTATTGCTGAACACTGTAAAAACTTAACAGCCTTGGGCCTCAGTGAATGTGAAGTTAGCTGCAGTGCATTCATTGAATTTGTAAGACTGTGTGGGAAAAGACTAACCCAGCTCTCTGTAATGGAAGACGTTTTGATCCCTGATGATGAGTATAGCCTAGATAAAGTTCACACTGAAGTCGCCAAACACCTGGGAAGAATATGGTTCCCTGATGTCCTGCCTGTCTGGTAATTGGCTACCAAAGATTGTTAATTTTTTATTAAACCATTAAGATTAGCTTCTTTCTTTCTATGCAAATATAAATTTTAAGATACATTGCTGAACTATTTTAGGTAAAATATCTTATCATTTGCAAACTGTCTTAATGGATTGCAGCAGAAACATTTGAAAAATTATGAGAAATGTTTAGCCAGAAATTTCCATAAATAGGACATAGACCCTGTATTGTGGATTAGGTGGTAGGTGGTAGGCTAAAAACTACACGTGGTTTGTAGATGAGTCCCTCAGCCTTCGTTGAAGGCACATTTTAGCTTGCTAAATAAATTTATAATATTGAGCTTTGGATCCCTAAATTATGACATTTATAACTTTATACTGCTTTAATTGCTTCTCCTTCATCTTGGTATGAATATATTTTACAAGATATGTAGTATTAAAATCTAAGAGTAAAATAAAGGTATAGACACAGAGGCTGACTTAATTGTACTTAATTTTTAGCACTATATAAGATCATATTATAGCTCAAACAATTTCTAATTTCTAACACACTTTGAATTCTACTTTAGTACGTTAACTCGGGAGAAGATGGGCATGAGATTAAAATTAATACTGATCATTTTGTAAAGAGACTGTGATTGTTAATTGATTAAATATGCTACTGAGATCGCTTCTCGGCCTTTTGGCTAAGATCAAGTGAAAAAACTACATTTTGCGGAGTGTCTTTGGGGAGGGAATCTGCATGTACTGACCTACTACTCTGTCTGGAACCGTGCTAGAGATCCTTTGCAGAAGTGATCTTATAATTTAATTAGTAACCCAGCTAAAACTCTTTAGTTACAGATTACCTTTAGAGTAAAGATATATCCTTAAAATGATCTACAAGACCCTACATGATCTGGCATCTGCCTGCTTCTTTGCCCTCATTGCTCACGGAGCTTCCCCTTGCCCTTCTGCTGCATTCTCTTGCAGGTCCTTAAGACTGCCATGGGCCCTGTAGTCAGAGTGCATGAGGATATAGTCTCTTTCTACTTAATTGCACTCTTTGCTCCCTCAGATCTTTCCTTTAGATGTCATTTCCTCAGGAAAGCCTCTGGCTCTCAGCACTCTGTGACTTCCATTTGTGCACTTACCACCATTGTAATTTGCCATTTACTTGTATGATTATTCTCTGCTAATTCCACTGCACTGTGAGCTTTATCAGTGCAAGATCACTGTCAGGTTTTGCTCACTGTTGTATCCCCAGCATCTAGCATAATATTAGGCAAATAGTAGACACTCAGTAAATTTTACTTAGGTACTTTCATTTCCAGAGTTGTTCCCTTATGTCTTTCTCCAACATCTTCATTTTCTTTCTAAGAAAGCAATTAAAACTTAAAAAAAAATGTTTATTATTTTCCAGCTTTAAACATTTTTTAATTAGGAAAAAAATTTAAATATTCTTACCTGTTAAATTAGAATTAGGATACCTTGTGGTTTGTAAGTGGTAATTTTTAAAAAGAGCATATTTTATGTCTCTTTTTTTTAGAGAGTTACTTGTGCAAGCATTCTCCACACTGTACCACATCCTTTCTCATGGTGAGCTCTGTAAGAACGGGCATCTTCCCTCCTTCACCTTTGTGTTTGAGACTCTCAGACTGCTGTGTGGCACATTCGTATACCCTCAATAAATGTGAGTGGAGCTGAAATACTGTTTAAAGAATCAGATTCTTGGGGCACCTGGGTGGCTCAGTCGTTAAGCATCTGCCTTCGGCTCAGGTCATGATCCCAGGGTCCTGGGATCAAGCCCTGCATCGGGCTTCCTACTCTGCAGGAAGCCTGCTTCTCCCTCTTCCACTCCCCCTGCTTGTGTTCCCTCTCTTGCTGTGTCTCTCTCTGTCAAATAAATAAATTAAATTAAAAAAAAAATAAAAAAGAATCAGATTCTTAAAGACAGTTGTTACTCTTGCAGATCATGTGATTTATACCTTAAGAATTCGGGAGAGTACAGAAGCAACATATCACAGGGCACTCAAGGTCTGGTTAGGATAATGGGACAGACATAAAGGAAGTGGCAAACCTGAGTTGGAGGGTCAGGCTGGTTGGAGGTCAGAGCAATGGTGGAAATACTGAAGAGGTGACCTCTGGTCTCACTGGCTAACGTGATGTGCAGTGGAGGAGTAGGGTGGGAGTGTATATACCTGTATAGGATGCCAGTGTTGGTTTCACTAAAGAGTGAAACAGAGAGGGACTGACTAAGGGAGATCAAGGTGGAGTTTCTCCCTGTTGCCTGCTAGCACAGAACGATAATGAGTACCCGTGGCCTCTTGTACATTGATGAGAAGTTGCCACTCTAAACGGTGGTCTTTAGCAGTGGTCTTCAGTCGTGGTTTTTAGTAGTTGGACCTAGTGCAGTAAGCACTATAAGAACTCTTAAAGGAAAACTCAGTAGAATTGATCAGCTCATTTTGATGACCCTGGTTGGCCTAACATATTGGGTTTATAATTCAATAGCAAACATTTTTAGGATAGCCAAATCAAGACAAGAAAACAGAGTATTTTTATGCTTTATATAATGAAAATATCTCCATTTACTTTGGAAGTCTATGAAAAGTATTGTTTACTTAAGGTTAGAGGATTCTTTTTTTTTTTTTTTTTGGGGGGGGGCATGTGTTTATTTAGCAAGCAAGGAGGGGTTCCATCAGAAGGGCAGCCTGGGAAGCAGCTGGTGGGCTGTGTGGTGAGAAGGGTCTCCGGGCTCTCTCCTGGTGTCCGGGTTGGTGGAACAGCTGGGCGGTGCCCTGGGCAGAGGTCAGCGTGAGGGTGATGGGGTGGAGAGAGACGGGGGACACCGCATACTCATTCACTTATCATCGATGCACTGGTCAGTGGGGACAGGGAAGATGATGTGGTCATCGGTGAGGCCCAGGGATTTGGCAAAGCCGGTGAAGTATTCCTTCAGAGCAGTGGGCAGCTGCTTGGTCCTCCCATAGAGGGTGATCTTGAAGTACTCCTGGTTTTTGTAAACTTTCTTGAAGAACACCATGGCAAACTGGTTGTAGTTGGTGGTCATCACCCGCACGGTGTAGCTCTGCACTCCGACGTAACGCTTAATGTTGCCCAGGGTGAACTGGCCAGGCAGGGAACTTGGGACAAAAGTTCTGATCCAGTGGTCGCAGCGCTGGTTCCTGATCAGGGTGGAGGTGACGTTGTAACTGCCGTTGTCTTTCAGCTGGTAGGTGGTGGTGTACATCTTCAACTGGGCTCGTTTTTCTGGTCATCCTGGAAGTCCAAGGTTAGAGGATTCTATATTAAAATGGCCACTTATCTTGTTCTTCCATTAAATTACTTTTCTGCAGAAAACTCAAAACATTTTATAAGTAAAAATTAATTGTGTTTGCATTATTAATTTACAGTCATCAAACCTAGTATCTGGGTCACAGTTTTCAAAGTATATTTTACAGTCATTTTCACTAAGGAAAAATATGTTATTAAGTACCATCACTTCTCTGTCATTTGAACCTTAACAATACTTTATTTTTTTATTTTTATTTTTTAAAGATTTTATTTATTTATTTGAGAGAGAGAGAATGAGAGAGAGCATATGAGAGGGGTTAGGGTCAGAGGGAGAAGCAGACTCCCTGCCGAGCAGGGAGCCCGATGCGGGACTTGATCCAGGGACTCCAGGATCATGACCTGAGCCGAAGGCAGTCGCTTAACCAACTGAGCCACCCAGGCGCCCCTGAACCTTAACAATACTTTAAACTGAACATTTTGACACCCAAATCTAAAAAGAAAAGGAAATTAAAAAAAAAACAACAACCCTCTGTTGAAGCACACCAGAGGGCGCCGTATTCTGGTTCTTCCTGAGAGAGCAGTCCTTTAGACTGAAGTTTGCATTTCCATTGAACGGATATGAGAGTGCTTATGGAGTGCTAGGCAGAAGGCACCGTTCTTGCTCTGCCTTGCGGAAGCTCTCCGTTCCAGGTAACGAGTCTGGTTTTTAAAACAATCACTTAAGAAGGTTAATTATTTATTGTGCGAACATTTTAGAGCTCCTTTAAAAATTGTTTTCTAAGTCTCTGTGCTAATTCCTATTTTGTGTTCTGAATGAGAACCCAGCCTTTGTCCTTTGAAAGCAAATTTAGTTTCTGGAAACAACCAAAAGTGATTTGGCACTAAGGAGATTAATAAGGTAGATGGTCAAACCAGACAGTGTTGGTTATAGTTTTTTTTTAAAAAACCTAAAAATTAAATTCTTAATTTAATTAACATCGCATGTAAAAACATTTACATGAGATGTTAAGATATGGTAGAGAATAATATGTAATTGGATATGAGAATTTACCAGTTGTGTTGTAGAGACTGAAGTGAGAGTCATCATTAACTCTTTCTTCTTTCTGACCATCCACCGGCAAGTCTTGTTACTTAGTATAACATGTTATCATAATAAATACTCATGAAATCACCTCCCAGCTGTAAAATGACAACATTGACATGACAATAACTTTAATTTTTCTGCGTGGCTTCCCTTACTTAGTCCTGAGGTAACTAATGTTCATCATTTGCTTGACTTCCTTTTCATATACTTTTATCATTTATATATGTGTTCCTAAAAATTACATTTTGGTTTTAATTGTTTTGACTTTATAAAAAGAGTATCCTACTATATATAATCTTAGGCCTTTTTTTAAACTCAGAATTATATTGCTATGACTCATCCATTTTGTTATGTTTAGCTGAGGCTCATTTTTTGTGACCACTGTACACTGTTTCATTCTGTGACTAAATCACAGTTCATTTGTTCATATCAACTGTAGATAAGCATTTGAGTTGTTCCAGGGTTTGCCATGACAAATAGTGATATCATGGACATTCTTATACGTATGTCCTAGCATACAAATGCAGCTACTTCTCCGATAATAAATCTCCAATAATATAATTAATTATATTTTCCTCTAGCACATCTGTACTAAGAATGGAATCTTTCTGCTGGAGTTTTCTACATTCCAAAAGGATTTAAGCAAAAAATTCATGAAAAGTTTCCAGAATGATAAATTCAACTTACTCATTTCTCACTAACTAAAATCTAGGGAGCCAGTTATTTCTGGTCCTTGGAGCATTTGTATAGTCTTATTTCCCCTTCCTACCTGTTGTCAACATAACTAAGAAAGAATAATCTAGGTTAAAAATGATATGTAGACATAAGGGGCTGTGGTAGGCATTTGGCTAGATGAGGCTGAGTTTCCATGAGGTACTTGGTTTCATGAGCTAACTTCAGGTTAAAATAGACCTCTTTCTCATCCTAGTACCTCCTGTAATGCAGTCTTACTGAAATCGAGAATAATGATGTATTTTATCGGACGGCCATCATTTATGATTTAGAAAATGTTCTGCTCATACAGTTTGGGGAAGTGTGGATATGAAGACCAGCCAATTCTCTCTTATCCATGCAAACAACTTACCCTTTGACCAGTTTGATAAACCTGAGGATATTGCTGAAACGCTTCCCTACCTTTACTCAGAGTTTAACTCCAGTTTGTTCACTTAATATTTATGAAGTGTGTGTGTGTGTCTGGCATTTTGCAACTCTATTCTTGTGCCAGGAAAACAGCTTCAGGCTTTTTCTTATTTTTAGGCAGAAAAGGTAGCTAGTCTTAGAAGTGTCAGAAATGCAGTCTGGAGAGGCTGGAATTCATATGTTTATTTATCCTGTGTGTTCAGGACTGAGAAACTTTAAAAAACAAACAGGTAAAAACCCCTCAGATCCCACAGGTGACAGAAAAATCAGAGAACTCTCAGAAATTAGTTGACAATCAAACATTCAAGTGACAGTGAGTTGAAACAGGCTGTTGTCTTTCTTGCATGCATCATGTTTTTATTTGGACACAAATTTCTTGAAGAGTAGGGGATGCATCCAGGTTTTTAAGGAGATGGTTTTGTATTTAGTAGATCTGGTCATGTGTCTTCTACTTAGAGGTACACGGTAGGATCACTCAAGTCACAGTTTTCAATATGTATGTGGGATTGTATGCCAGGATAGACTTTCTGCAAGGGCAGTAGAGTTCCTAGTTTTTCTCCCTTCTTGATAGAACCTTTATATTTAACTGGCTTAATGTAGAACATTTTAATACAGAAACCTAAAAGAAAAGAAGTTAAATTAGTTATTATCTGGGTTTCAGTAGCCTTGAATCAGAAATTCAAAAAATAAGAACAAAAATGAAAGAGAAGACAAAAAGAAGTGAGACTTGATTGAACTCAGTGAGGGAACAGAGGAAGGTGACAAAATTGTATCAGAAATGAAGACTAGATGCCCAAGGGAGAGTAGATTCAAATGAGGATTTAATGAAGGCATTGAGGAATAGCAAAAAAACACTAGGATGCTGAGAAAATTGAGACTTTTAACATATTTTCTTGTTCTCACCCAGGATAATTTCAACTCCAAGACCTATTCTAATAAAATGATTAGCCTTTAAAGACAAAGAAAAATGGACATAATTGGCACAAGAATGCAAATCTTTCTAAACATTAAAAGAAAAAAATTTAAAAACAAAGACCCACCAAATGGAGAAGTAGAGTTAATTTAATACTGTAATTATAATGTAATATGACTTTTGGGACCACATACATGGGTATATCTATAAATGTTAACTCGTCTGTTAAAAAAGAAAATTCTTACTGGCTTGAAAACCAAAACCCAATTCTTTTTTTTTTTTATTATGTTAATCACTGTACATTACATCATTAGTTTTTGATGTAGTGTTCCATGATCAATTCTTTTTTTTATTATGTCAATCACCGTACATTACATCATTAGTTTTTGATGTAGTGTTCCATGATTCATTGTTTGTGCATAACACCCAGTGCTCCATGCAGAACGTGCCCTCTTTAATACC